AATTATTGAATTGCTAAAATGGCTGCAAAATTAAGGGTTGTTGAATTGTTCAATAATTGAACGCAAGATTAAAAATGATTGAATTACTAAAATAGGGGTTGGTGATGAAAAAGTAACAATTTTGATTAGCATATATTCTTAAACGAAAAAAACAAAAAATATGTCCAAAAGTTTGAAGAAAAGTAAGGGCAAACAAGCCTTATCACTTAGGGGTATATGTCTCTACGTCGAACAAAAAAATAAAAAAAATCTAAAAATTAAATATATATATATATATATATATATATATATATATTACTATAACTTATAAGCAGTAAGATATTTTTTATATATTTTATAATTTTAACGTAAGATTTAATGAGAATTTTTTTATCTCCAGCCCACAATTTATTTAAACATTTAAAATCGTTCAATCTACCGTTTAATATCTGAAATTGAACGATAATCACTCCGTTTTGTGGAAGCGGCGCCGAATCCGGCGAATCCGGCGATTCGATTCGGACCAAAATTGTAACAAGCAAAGTCCGGAACCAGTTCATTTCGTCCCGGAGCGTGCCGTTCTCGTTTATTACCGGACATTTACAAGTTCTTATGATATGGTAGCTGCTTTTTACAGAAAATTGCTTATAAAATTAGTGCGAAACACTTTTATATCCCAAAGGCACATTTTCGGCTTTTTAAACAAGATATTCGTTAAGGACGAAGTGGTCGTAAAATTATAAATGCAACGAAAATATTTGGACATGGGCTTTATTTCGCTTGATCGATATTACACTGAGGGTTCACAGATAAATTATCAAATTGCAACTGTAATTAAATTAATTTTATAATATATTATAATATATCTGAAATCATTTTACTGAGAAAATAAAAATTCAAGTTTGTACTGAAAATAGAATTTTTATCAATAGCATTTCTATTGATTTTTTCTACAAATTATATATTATATGTCTTGCATATAAAATATTGTCAGTATATTTCAAATTCATGGTTTTGTTTTTAATTACAATGTTCTACTTACTTAATTTACGTTTTTATCTAATGATTTGTCTAGATTCATGAGATATTACTGAATAAAAAACGTTGAGCTATGATTTACATAGGTATTTATTAGTAATTACGGGTAGCAATCTTACTAAAACTATCGTTGTAGATAGTTGTGAGTATCTAAAATCTTTTTCTATAGTGGGGCTTATATGATTTTAGTTGTCGATGTCTCCACATACAATGGTGACAACGGTTATATAATTTTATTAACTTTAGTAAAAGGGATAATCATTTAGCTAATTAAATTCGGAAATGACTTACTAACCGTTGCAATAGATAAGTTACTATAAAAATTATTTTTTTATTTAGATTTCCAGATATTTGAAATCTACTAGTAATATTTCGAAAAAAATAAAACTTAATATTTTATGTTTAAATTTAATTTCAAACGTTTATGAGTTGCATCAAATTAAGTATGAACAAAATCAAATACTAAGCAAATGTTAAATACCAAATTGAATCAGAGGGTAGAACAAGAGGTTTTCCATTGCCTTTTCACCTGTGCCAAATTTATATATGCAAATATTGTATTTTTTTAGAAAATCACTGAATAATACTTTCGTGTTCGAAGATTTCGAATCCTACAAATATTTTCTATTCTGAATAGCATCCTAGTTTTGCATTATTAATAAAACTGGGTATGCTTAAGGACAGTAATCAGTAAATGCAATTAAAAGAAATCCACGCTATTTTAATTGCTCTCTTGGTACCACCTGACAATCGCTCGACTATCACACGAATTTTGATTCATACCTACATAATTGTATTATATTGCTACCCCTTATAAAATATTTTCATAATTATATGTTAAACTAAACAGGCCACGATTTAATTTTGTACTATGAACAACTTTACACCGTTTTTAAAATGCTAAATCTCTGAAAAACAAGTTGTTAATCAATATTGATTAATTACTGATAAATTTGAAACAAAATAACAATATCAATGATACATTATTCTATGAATAATTAATAAGAAAAAAATTAAAACATAAAATTTTTAACTATCTACTTAAATAACTTATTGAATCATTATTCATTTATAATATGAGTAATTTGAAAGGACAATAACATTTTACAAAAATATTGTGATTATTATTTCAAAAATATAATTATGACTAACACTTGTCATCTGTGATTGCACGAAGAACATGCACTTCAGGTGCAATGTCTTCAAATCAAAACAAAGAAATACGTATGAATGAATTAGCGAATCAAAAAATTAAATTCTTAATATTATACCATTTGATAAATGAAGATTTTTTCATGATATTTGAACAGCAATTGGAACTTAAGGGTTCTATAAATTGTATGATTTTACTCAACTAATTATATCGGTTTTATAGATGATAAATTTGTATTATTACAATTTTTGTAATTGTGATAAATGTTTTATTGGTGCAGCAATGCCGGGTAAAAGCTATATTTACTTGGAAGCCTATTATCATCAATGTTTTCAAGTGATGGATATCAGGCTGCTCGAGGCGTATATCAAACCGTTTGATTCAAATCCCATATCTCTAACACTTACCCATGAGCGAACCAATAAATAGAGTATTACACCATTTAAATTGCTAAATAAAACAGTAAATTTTACTTTTAGTCGATACTTGCAATAAGGATCCTTGCCTGCCTTTAGATCTTTGCGATCCTTGTAGTTTTTTACAGAAATTTCGGTCCGGATCTGTATCTATCCCGATTTAGATTTTGATCAATCCTCATCACTATCAGTAAATTTATAAAATATACTCTGCACAAATGGCGTTTACTCTAGGTCATTGTTTCAATATGACTCAATTAATTAATAATGAAAAGTTTCTAGGTAAAAATAAATATTTTCTTATATATTTTTTGGTAATTAAAAATTCAAATTATTTTCAAATACCAAATATTCCATCCATTTAATCTTCCTATCTGATTTGGCCATGTACAAACATCCGTGTAATCACCTTGTAGCTTCTCATCCGAACACTTGTTCAAACAATCAAACCAACTGTGATCAACGTATGTGTACTCATTGGTGATTGGTGCCGAGTCTTTCATTGGAAGAATCTATTTGGAAGATCTTTTCCATTAGGCGATAATATTGCGTCACACCAAAATGGCTTTTATTCAGTAAATAATATACTATATATAGATAAAGAGCTAGGCAGAGTTTAAATCTGGTATTTAGTATATATGATTCTGATTGTAATTTCCTAAGTTTTCGATTTTTTCTGCCTTTACGATTCTTCCTGCAATTTTGATTGCATCTTGCTCCATGATTATATCCAGCTTCTTGATTATTTCGTAGATTCATTTTCTTGAAGTTCTCGTTTTCTGGAGCTCATCGATTCCCTATAGTTTCTCTTTCTATACTGATCCAAAGTGTCCTCTTTTTGTTATAATATAATGTTTTGGTATAATATAAACGTTTGTGATATAATAATGTCGCTGGCTGTCTGTCTAACAACTAAAAATGGATTTCTCCTTTACTGATTGTCAGTCAATTTGTACAGTTGGTTTGTTACAGAATATTGCGTTGTAATTTAGAGCGCGTAGACCTCATCTTAATGATGATAAATAGGACTACGGATTGTAAACATGTAGACATTCTTTATGAAATATGTTTCTCACAATTTTATTGAGTATTGAGTAAATACGTAACTCATAGTAGCTACAGTCATACGTAATTCATGTAATTACGTTTTAAATGAAAATGAAAAGATTTTTTAAGGAAATGAATTATAATTCAAAATAATAAATGATGTGGGCACCTTTTTATGTTTGAAATTTATTTGGCAAAAAATTTGAAAAATTAATTTATCATTCGGCTATAATCACTAAGTACTGAAGTTTTAGATATATTTCTCCAACATTTAAAATTTTATTACATAAGGCAGTATTTATACATATACTTTCCATATTGTGTTAAGAAGGCTTTAAAGTCTTATTTACCATACATATTTTTATACAAGATTACTTTAAAGGTCTTGAATTATACAACATTTCAATAGCAGATATTGAAAAACAATTTCCATATTTATTATGTGCATTTACGTAATTATTATATTTGGATTATGGAAATTTTGACAATTTATTGAACTTGTATTTGATGACAATTCTAAATTTATAAACGGTCTTTTTCCCAAGAACTGAATAATTCTAGATTGTTTACATATGAATAATTAACCAGATATTTTCATGTCATGGGTGTAAATTTAGTATTGTTATCATTATTTAAACAGTAGAATTATTAATTCTTATGTTTCGATCAAATGCGTTAATCACTAAATAAATATTTCCGTTAATTTTTTTTATTGTTGCCACTTCGAATATAATTCAATTCAATATCAATTCAATTTTCTAGATATTTCATGTTTTTAAATTAAGTACATGATTGAATTTTGAAAATTAGGAAAGATTAAAAGTATAATTCATGCCCAAAAAATATAATAATTTCAACACTTATAGATTCAAAGCAAATAATTTTTCTATCGCATGAAACCTAAAATCAATCATTTGCTTTATATTGAAACATTATGAATAATTGTATAAAATAATTGATAAAAGTAATTTAGTTATAAAATTATAAATATAAATTAATATATTTACAATAATAATTAGCGCTACAGTCTGAATAGTAAAGAATTTTTTTTGAAATTTTGCATAGCAGTGCCCAGATACACCATTTCATTTGGTAATAAAAATTTTATCTTAATTTTTCTAATTAATGGTAATTTTTGGCAAATATCTGGTTAATTATTCATATGTAAACAATCTAGAATTATTCAGTTCTTGTGAAAATGGCTAGTTTTAATATAATTATATACAAATATCTAAAATAACTTTCGTCGTTAATCTCTATAATCATCTTTTGGAATCTCTTAACTGTATATCAATGCTGTACAGGTGTGCATTATAATTTATTTGGTTACATTTGACCTAATTGTTGGAATCTATCCTTGTTTTCAGTGCAAGCAGTGCGGCAAAGCCTTCAAGCGGTCATCAACGCTGAGTACGCACCTGCTCATCCACTCCGACACGAGGCCCTACCCTTGCCAATATTGCGGGAAGAGGTTCCACCAGAAATCAGATATGAAGAAACACACGTACATTCATACAGGTGAGTGAGAAATTGTTTTATTAGCTTTTTAGTAAGTTCGATAGGACCGAAAAATCTTTATATAAGAATATAATAATAATTTAAGAATATGGGTTTTAGATGTTTGGTTGATGTGTAAGTTAAGTCAGATTTTTTATCTGTTTAATATTTGCCCAGAAAGGACAAGAAATACATGTCACAACCGTATCCACAACATTTGTCACAACCGTACCCAACGCATATACTTGAAAACAAATCATCATTATAGCTGAATTATCTAAGCAAACTTATTGCTGGTAAATAACTATTAATGTTCAACTTACAGAAAAATAACAAGCAAAGTGATCTATCTGTATACAATTAATATAGTTATTATTACATGAATTCAAACACGAAAACTTACTTTTGACTCTTTAGAAGCAATTTGGTCATATTAATGCAACACACTAACTAAAAGCAATAATGGAAACTTGTTTGAAGAAGAATACTTCAACTTTCTCTCTCAAAATCAGTATAGTTTAGCTGTTATAATAACTGTCTCTACCGGAAAATGGCACAACTGTCTATTTCAAATATATATCTACTTCAAATATATCAATCTTATAATATTCTTAACTGCAATGAAAGTTTTTCAATTTTTGTGCCTGCCTTAGCTGATATAGGTATAACAGGCAAATCTGTTTTACTTTCAAGAAGTTATTATTATTTATTAGAAGTTATTATTATTTTTTGAGTCTTCAATATCAATTTTTTTAGCAATAACTAAATGAGGTCTCCTTAACAGCTCTGGACTCAACTGCCTTAAATCATATTTTAGTATTTCCAAATGAACCCAAGGATCAGAGAAACATCCAGAACAAATAAAAGTGCAGAACAGCGTTCTGTATGTTTTAAGAACTGTATTCCTAAACCACGATTTTTGCTTGATCCTTCAAATAATCCTTGTAGATCTGCGATTGCATGTTGTTCAAAATCATCATATTGAATCATACCTAAATGAGGTCGCAAAGTTGTGAATGGACAAGGGGCTGTTTTAGGCCGAGCACGAGAAATTGCTTGAAAAAGAGTACTTTTACCAGCATTTGGAAATCCAACAACAACAACTGTATCCAGTATCCTCTACTGCTTCGATGCCCTGGCCTTAAATTCACTATATTTTTTCTTCACGCTTAAGTCGTCCAATAGCCATTTTTAGTAGCCATTACAGTTTAGTTTTATTTGGCAACAAAAGATAATCTTTTTCCAGTTGGGACTGATCCAATTTCCTTCAAACAGTAGAGTTGTTTTATTTCCCACTCCGTGCAGTACTTCTTCATTTGTGACACTGTTGGTCTATGATATCTTATTCATCATCATCTCCAGAATTTTGAAGTAGTTTTACTTGGAGTTTCTAAAGTCAAAGTCTCTAATTCATACACAATGTATCATTTCATAATTATTTTTCGCAAGTTTGTTTGCTCGTAGGTAGCATCCTTGGTGGAATAGACATCCCCCAATTTCTGAGTATAAATATACATATATAATGGTATATGTGAGAGTATTATATTTTATATTAATGTAATAATTTATATTTTTGGCGATCAAAATCCCATCTCATCTGGTCGTCTCAATTGCAGCCTCTTACGGCCGTCGGCCGATATGAATTGGATCGCGCAATTAACGTTTGCACTGTGCCAGAGATTACCGTATGCGAAAATCGTTACGAAACCGGCCGCGGCGTTGATATTTTCGATTTATTACTTTATAAGTGAAGTCTTGTAAAAGATATGGTCGCTGGTGTGTGTCTCATTACTCAAAATATATTACATGTAGACAGTATTCTACATGCGTAACTAAGGGACATTAAATCATTCTTCTTTTTATTGAAACATAATTACCATGATTACAGGCGTTCGCTCTACTTTCAAAATTTAAAGGATCGATTAAATACGTAATAAAGATTTAACAATCGTTTATTGGTCGAATTAATTGACTCTTAATAAGTTTATAACCTATGTTTTTTTGTTAGAGCAGCTATTATAATCTATATGAATTCTATTAGCTGTACTGATGTAAACTTTTAAACTCTTAAAGTAAATGGTGTAATTTTTATTAGTTTTGATCTAATACTGACGATATATATTCGATGAGATTAGCCCTCAAGAAGTTAATTTCACTTATTCACATCTATAATAGCAGGTAAAAGTCTGATAGCATTACTGCTTGATATCAAGCTAGACGAGATGAATATCGAACGAAACCAAAAATCAGTATTTGTCTGACCACTAAGTAATACTAAGTATACAACTTAATAAATTAATTATTTCGTCTATAGTCAGTTTAAATTAATTGGAATGTTTGAATAACACCAACTTCGGTTAGTAAGATCCAAAAGTTAGTAGGAACTTTGGCTAATAGGTGAACATAAAATTTAGCTCTTATGAGCAAGTTACTAAATAATGGTTCGCAAAATTGTCTTTCAAAAGTAATTTTTGAATTTTTACATCAGGCTTGCCAATTTTAAGCATATTTGTTGTCAAATTTTGGCTGAAAGTACATAGTAATTTGTACAATTCCGGTCTCAAACGACTAGGAAAGACTTGGAACTTTGAGAAATTATAAAATTAGCAATTCATATTTTCTGGCAAAAATATGAACTTCTCCTTCGTGAAGTAAATAAAAAGCTTTTCAAGCATCCATCCATTATTAAATACAAGGCAAAGATAGATAATAAATATCAATCCGGCTATACGTAAAAATACTCGTCAACTATAGCGCAATTAGGCAAATACAAAACAAATACCTAATCGCCTACAAAATTCGGTCAAGTCTTGAATATTTAATAACAATACTCCAGAATACCTTTTTATGAAACAGTTACCAGGTAACCGTTATCCTCGTTTGTCGTTTGCGAATAACGTCTTTCAACCCCTTTTGCTGGTGTGAGTGGCGTTACATCGGCCACTTATATTAAACCGAATCGCGTGCCACCGACAATTATAATTAAAAACAGGGTCGACCCGACGCCGGAAAGAGGACGAACGAGGAACGTTGTATAAGGATGCGTCGATATCGCAAACACCAGGTGGTTTGGGCTAAAGGACAGTTTTCTGTTTCTTTAACAAAATCAGTAAACTTTGGTAATGGACACATTTGTAGATCTAGACTCATACATTATTAGTCTGGCTTTACTTAGAGGCTGGTCCATGGTTTTGGAAGCATCAAAATCTATTTACCACTCGTCCCTCCCTTGCTTATTGTTAACAATAATCTTCTCGAGGATATCACGAGATTTTATTCCAAATATTTTCTCAATTCGCTTAAACCTAATGTTCGAATTTTGTTCAATTATTTTTTCATTCATTTCGTTTATATCTTACTAAAAAAATATTGAAGTAAAAGATAATATATTAGGTATAAAAAGTTCCATTATAGAGTGATGAGTTAATGTAATTATCAGGTAGATAAGTACCAATTTTTTTTTACTTTAATAATTTTTTCATATAATATAAACAAAAGGATGAAAAATCGATAAAAAATACGACAAATTAAACTTTTTTTTTATTATTTTGAACTCAGAAATCTTGTAAGCTGTTGGGCTAGTTTGACTTAATACTTCGTCGGTTTCACAAATGGCAACCCAAACAGTTATCTCATCTCTGTGGGATAAATTTTCTTACTACAATTTCTGCAATGGGGCGAATATTTTAATGATGCATAAATACCGGAGGAGCGCTATTTTTACTTGGAAACATATTGCTATCTATATTTCCAAGTAAAAACTGTTGTCACTAACTCACTACTGTTTGATATCAGCTGCTTCAAAAATTGATGACTTAAGTCAAGTGGCGTTTTTCTCTTTAACCTTCGACGATAGTTTTCTGTTAGTAAGGAATTTGCTAGTGAATTTGGAAAACTGATGAGCTTGTTTCTATATTTATGTGCTTCATACATACATCTTTCATGGTAGGTGTATTCGTGTCGAGATGAATCAGCCAGTTCGGGACATATTTTGGTGCTCCCAAGGCAATTTTCAGAAATTTGTTCTGAATTTACTATGTTGGCAAAAATAATTGTGAAATATAGTTAGGTAAAAAATTTACTAGAATGTGTATTCTTGCGTAGTTTTTCATTGTTTTATATATATATTATTTTGGCAATAGTATTTATATTCCGCATTATAATAAATGTACGGATTGAATTACCGGTTTAACGCAATAAGATGTATTACATTTACTTCGCATTTCAAAAGCGCATCTGACGGGTGATTTAGCTCAATCGCTGCCTCGTGCCCTCGGCCAGAGCCACGTGGACGCAAGCCCGCCGGACTCATGCCAGAAATATGCTTTCGCTTACCGAAATTAATTATAAATTGACAAAGAATTTATCTTATAAATGACCAGTATGATAAAACAACTTTATTTGAAGATGAGTTTGATTTGATCATGAGTTCCAGCTGATACTTTAACCCGCGCAGAAACTTGTCCCAACATCTTCATTTTAACAATCACAACAATAAGTAATGGTGTGATTGACTGAATAATTATAATATATTTATTGCTTACGTCATTGTAAATTGTGTATGAATTACGTATAGCAAATAAACAAAATTGATTACAGGTATTGTTTTTGCCATATACATTCATTTTACGTCAGTGAGCACTATATATTAAACATCAATGACAATTGCAAAACTTTAATAATAATATTTACCACATATATGAGAAATTTTGCAATAATGTTAAAAATAGATTTTTAATTTTACTTTGACTGACATTACCTTTTCTGTTTCTTTTCAGGTGAAAAACCCCACAAATGCGTCGTCTGCTCGAAAGCTTTCAGCCAGAGTTCTAATCTCATAACGCACATGCGTAAACACACAGGTTACAAACCTTTTGCCTGCGGGCTTTGTGACAAAGCTTTCCAACGAAAAGTCGACTTAAGAAGACACAGGGAAAGCCAACACCCGGACTGTGGTGTCAATATTCTTGTCAAAGAAGAAGTCACAAGTAGCTGCTAGAAGAAAAACCCAGAAAGTGAAATATTTATATTTATTTATACAAGTTAAGTGTTAGTGATGATCTTGAATGACAATGTGCCTTAGCTTGTTCTAAGTGAAAAAGTGCTCTGAACAAATAGTGTTTTAAGTCTAAAAGACGCCTAAAAGTGCCTCGTTTTAAGCAAAAACTGCCATATGAGGTTTTGTACAAGGGAATAGTATTAAGATTTGCTAAAATTACCAGCTTGTGTTATTAATTTTATGTTTTTATAATTAGGATTTTTTGTATTTAGTATTATTGTATTGGTTTACTTAAATTCGCTTACTAGTCTCAGATTTGTAGTTTTTAAAAGCGATTAAGGTCGTGAATTTAGTGCCATTTTTTATAGTTTTTAAATCAATAGTTTTTAAATTTTGATTGCAAAATAAAGCAAGATATATCACACACTTCAATATATAATATAAAACAATAATATAGTTGTAGATTTCTGATAATTGTACCCATCCAACACTGATAGCAGATGTGTTTTAAGCATACAGGTGTTTAATTATTTCAGTAAAAAAAATTAAATCCAGTGACCCAAAGCTCGTATTTTATTTGAAAAAGTATGATTAAACACGAGACATTTAATTTGTCTAGTCGCGAAAGTCGTTACCCTAAATTATAAGTAATTTAAAATAAAAATGTCGGGGCCATTTAATTTGAAAATGACATACCAATTAAGTATTAAGTACAAAATTAATGATGTATTATATTTGTATAGTTTAGGACAAAAGTGTTAGTTAAGTGTACATTAATTCATAGCTAATTAATTTATTTAATTGATTTGTAATTTTTATAATATTTATTCGATGATCAAATGATTAAAGATGTCATCACCAAAATTAGGCATAAGTATCAAATCATTTTTTAAAAATGATAGATTATTATTTCAAGTATGTAATTTGTAATATTTTTGCACTAAAGGTTTGAATCCAAATATTGGAAATCCCGTACTGTATAAACACTCGTTTTCTAGCAGCTAGTAGACCAAAGAAATTGGAACAGTTTATATGGTCACCACTGTTTGACTATTTAAAAAATTGTAAAAATTTTGTACATTGGTTTTAAAATTTTATTAGGATTTAAATTTATATAATACTGTGTCAGAGAATATACAAAATTTATTAGTAATTTAAAATAGTTTTAAGAAACAAAGTGTCTTGAATTTAGGAAAGAAATATAAATGATTCTTCAGAATATAGTTTGTTATTTTTACCTTACAAAAATCAGACTGTGCTTTGTTTTACAGGATAATTTGCTGGACAAAAACATAGTGAAATGATGTTTTCTGAACATAATCTGAGTAATTTCTTACTGTTCTTATGTTGTTATAAAATCACGACAAACATATAAAGTAGTCTTAGTTGTTTTATGTCTTTATGCCATTTTTTTAATAACTTGGACGTTTGGGTTATTTTTAACGCGAATTCAACGATGGTTGATAAGCTATGAATACAAAATCTGACATTGCTACAATAATATATCTAAAAATGGCAATTTTGACAACAATTTCAAGTATCCCATCTGATTTTACAATTACGAACCACATACTTAACAAGTACGTGCTAATTAAAGCATAATTTGGTACTTGGCAGGTACGTATCAAATCTTACAAAGTAGCATTTAAAAGTATTCCGCTTTTGGGATTGTCGGGACCTGAAACGATGAAAAAACAGTCCATGTGCCTATTGAAAGCGTTTTTTTACGATAGTGATATCATCAACCTGCAATCAAATCGAGATTTCTGATGAAGCAGCCGTCGCGGCGTGAGTTTGGCAGGTGTTTTGGTGGATTTGAACAGAGGAGACCATGGATTTTGGACATTCATACACCATAATAATACTTATATTCTTAAATAAAACACTAGACTTCTCTCTATGGAGTGAAATACGATTTAAAACACGCTTTTTGAATGCAACTTAATGGAATGTCAAGTTATTCGTGAATTCAGGGAGTTTTCTTTCGAATGCAGCAACAATTTTATTATTATTTTTCCTATCACCGCTCTTATGTTTTCCTATCACCGGTTGTCTATGTTTTTGAATATAGATACATATTCATGTGACTTGGCCATTTCTTATGAGGTATTAAATATGCATTTTGGAACTAATATTGTGGATATTTAGATTAGGTTTCGCAATTAATGGCTAAAATCATTTCACTTTAACATTTGGATTTTTGTGTATAATTAAGTATCTATTATAAGGTTTTAATTCTAAATTATAAGTAGTGGTAAAAGAGAACCGTCAGTTTTTAGAATTGGACGTCATAGCATCCACCGTTATGGGGCGAAGAACCGAAGACCGTTAAAATTTAATCGGGAAGGACTGTAAGGTATTTATTTATAAATCCTTCCTTGTTAGTGATTCTAGCTATACGAAATAAATTGTTTGGTCTACTAAAAGTTTTTTGTTATTAAATATTCAATATCGTTTGACTGAAAAAATATATTAAGTTTGAGTACCTATCCATATCCAAATAATTGAGTACCTAGTGAAATTATAAATATAACTATTTCAATTTTAAGTAATAGCTTTTAGAAGCAACTTGAAGTTTAGTATTGATATGCGTATATTTATATTCTAGAAAGCTAATTGAATCTGATTGTGATGATTTTTGAATTTATTGCAGTAATGCCCGAAAAAAATATTTTAACTTGGCAACAATTTTTATCTATATTTTCAAGTAATAATATATTTATATATTACTACTTGGAACATTGTGTTTGCAAAGCGTTCATATATAATTAATTTCATTATTGAGAGATATTATATTTGCTATGTATGTATAATCGTGTGTATGCCTGTACATATGTACATATAAAAATGCGTATACAGATGTAGTTGATGGTAATCGCCCAACTCGCACCCAGTTTTTTGGATATGAGCATCCAATCAGTTTTCGGTATCTTATAAAAAATGTTATAACATAAAAACATGCCAATCCGTAATTGCAGCTTGTGCCAAAAATGTCGCAGGCTTCTGTGCAGTAATTAGTGAGACCAAATCAAAACCGGATTGTCGCGTTTTTTTCGATCGAAAATCGATTTTTTCCCTGGAAGGAATACAATGGATTAAGATATCACCGCGGGCGTACTTTTCGAATATATGTGATATCGTCACGTGCGGTCATTAGCGAAAATGCATGTAATGCGTGAAGCCGAATGATTGAAAGAAATTAGCGAAAAACGCGACGCCGATTGCGTGAGAACCAAACGAAATCATCGATCGAGAGAGAGAATTTACATTAAGTTGATATCTCTGATCTCTGATCGAATATCGCCCGCTATGACAAATTCAGATGCGGAATTCGGTAAACTGAATGAGAACTTTCGAAATTGATTAAGGAAATTGACAAAGACATCATTTGTTGTTGGGAACTAAGACAAAATAAATTTTACTCAAAGTTACATCATAATCCTTAACATTATTCATTAATTATTAATTATTATATATTTATCCTCATTTGCAACATGCAACATGATTATTTTAATTACTATTTTAGATAAATTTTATATTTCATCTATTTATAATTGGCCAGTCCATAAACAGAAGTGGACTATCCCAATCATACGTCAACGCCATCAAAACGTGTCAAATTTGCTATTTTTTTCAAATCTTTCAAAATTATATTAACACCAATTAGTTTATATGCTTACTATTCATCTTTACATTATTTCACTCAATTTTTCATTATATAGATAAAATAGAAGCCCTATATTCCTGTACTTTCCTTATTTTGATAATTCCCTGGGTTTTCGTGAAACGTGAAACAACTTTAGAGCCAAAGCAGATTTTTAGCTGCCATTTAACTCTATTGTAAATACCTTTGTGATCGTATACAATCAATTCAGTTTATTGCATATTTGAGTTCTGAATTTAATCAAATATAGATAAAATAGAAGCCCTACATTCCAATCTGGGTTTTCGTGAAACAACTTCAGAGCCAAAGCAGATTTTTAGCTGCCATTTAACGACAGATATAATGATTTTATTTATTTCACTTTGTCAACGTTATTTAGTAAAAAACTCATCATATTCTTATTGAATCTCAGGTTGTCCCGATTTGTGGGATAGTCCACTCTGGTACCAACTTCTCAATTATAAATACCCAAGTGATCGTTTACAAAATATTCAGTTTATTGCATCTTTGATTTCTGAATTTAATCAAAAATTCATTTAAATCTTCTGAACCGTTGATTATGAAAAAGATACAATAAACTGCAAGAAACGGTCCTACTCACAATCAGTACTGTTAAATAAATATACATTATCTACTAAAATTTTTTCTAGTTTTAATTTTAGTTACAACTGATAATAAGACATCAAGTAACATAAGATAATTTTGATTAAAATATAGTAAAAAAAACAACAGTTTTTTCATTGAAACGCCTTCTATGTGATTACAATATAAAGTAACATAAGATAATTTTGATTAAAATATAGTAAAAAAAACAACAGTTTTTTCATTGAAACGCCTTCTATGTGATTACAATATAAAGCAAGATAAAAATCAAAAAAATATCAGAAAATGTAAAATCAAAAACCAGCGGGTGTAACTTTATATCAACATGGTGTAAAAAACATATTCAATTAATATAGAATTAGAATTGTGATAGGGCTCGCCCGTAGGTAAGCGGTTAAAAGCGACGGGACTTGTTTCAGAGGTCCCGGGTTCGATACCCACTTCGAGCAGCCTGTTGTCAGGCAACAGTGACAACGATTTTCTCTTGGAAATATAGATAGCAATATGTTTCCAAGTAAAAATAGCCCTCACCCGGCATTGTTGCGACATACTTGCCCTATTACAGAGATTGTAATAAAAAATTATCATACAGAGATGTGGCAACTGTTTGGGTTGCCATCTGTAATAAAAACAAACGTGCTTTGTAAGATATTAATCACAACAGCTCATAGAACCCATAAGTTCTGATCGCTGTTCAAATAAAATTATAAAATTATAAAAAAACAATTGTGATAATGT